TTTGGAATTCCATACAAGTATTCTAGGAATAGTACTATACAGTATTTTGGAGCACCTTTACGTTCATTTCCATCGAATATAAGGTTTCTTTCTTGTTATGTTCTTAGCTTGAGCAACAACAGTATGAAAACGATTTGAAATGGTGCAAGAGTACATGATACATTTGGAAGACATATTTCAGTGACTAAAACAAACACAAAGGCAGGAATATGATGAAATATATTCGGCGTAAAAATCATTTTTGGTAGCCCAAGGTTAAACCAGTCCGCCAAGTTTGATGATGGTGATTATTGTCAAAAAGAAGGTTTATTTTTTTTACAACATATTAGTTGTGATGTTTACATGTCAATAAATTGTTATTTATTAGATGTATGCTAAAAGTACATGCCACATCTATATCCACGCAACGGTAAAAAAATTTCGGTCCACAAGGCTGAATAGCTTCTTTAGTAACTGTATTACTACGACTATCAATAAAACCGTGACTGTAGAAAATTTATCACCAGTGGAAATATTTTTCCTCGCAAAAACACTCTTCTGATTTGTGTTTGCTTTACCAATTACTCATTTCTCAATATGACTGAATAGCGACAACAGCGGTGAGCAGATAGAACCCAGTCGGTACACTTACCTTTTTCAGAAGAAAGTAGAGAAGATTAAATGGACAATGCAGTGATGCAGGAAATATGAGGTGAATTCAGTCAGATACACTGCCGATGAGATCGGCCCTAAACAAGCAAGAGAGTCGTCTGGCGTTTAGGTCACTCTGATATGGTTTTTGAAACCTACACATCAGCCTGAGCGGTTTCTAACTACTCAAGCTGTTCAGTAGTAGTGTAAATATGAAAGGTTACTGTCAGCAACAAACTTGCATCCCGTTTCAGATTTACATGAAAAGACTTTAACCGAGTGAAAACGTAGGAGCCTAATATTCTCATTTCTAGATTAAAACTTTTTTTGGTAACTGTATACCAAATCCCAAGGTATTTTTACTATGATGACGTGTACTTCACTGTAGGGAATCGATGGCGTAGAAGAGTAGAGAGAAATTTGACAGTAGAACTAACATTTTCTGAACATCGTAAAAGGATGGAAGGTTCAACTGAGGTTGTTTTAAAGGTAAAATTGAGAAACGTTTCCTATAAACAGAAGTGTTTAGACTGTTTTCATCCTGCTGTTTACACGAAGACTGAAAGTAAAAGAATTGTATTCTGGTTCCAAACCGGCCGCCGTTCAAAACGTCATTTCACCTTCAAACATTACGCTGTATGAATTTGTGTACACCATTCAGTCCTACAAAGTGTCAGTAACCATTTGAATAACTTCTTGACGAGGTTTCAACCTTCGGAACTGAGTGACATAGGTTTAAACCTTTGAGAGCACAAAGATTGTCTCAATTTATCAGATAAGCTTTCACGATGCATGTCAAGAAGTACTAAACTGTGTAGGGGAGTTCCCTCAAAACTGACTTCAAGTATCTTACTCTAACAAAGTGTGCTACAGTGCCGCGTTGTCCAGCTCAGTGTCCAAGTCGTACACTTGTTTGAAAATCTGATAGTTTGTAGTTTTTCGCTCATCGACGTTCACTGCGTCCATAACTTGCCGCCAAAATCGTGTAAAATGTTGCCACTCATAATTCGCTTTTGTTGAAATGATTACTTCCTTAGACGATACTGATAACGTGCAACAATATACTATTTCGTTAACAAGCTCTGTGTTATCCACCAAATCGTATAATCAGTTGATGTGCTCAAGTACAATATTAAGAATCATATGATGCATTTCTAAAAGTGTGAGGTAGAAAAGTATATGAGTTTCTTCAATATTTCTTTTTACCTAATTTAACACCCGATTCAGATATGGTTGATATGTAACCGTTATCACTTGGTGCAAAATGAAAGTGAAAAATATGGATCAAAACTGATATCTAATGACATTAATTTTATTTTGCTGGATTTTATCTTGTTGTCTCCCAGTGTGATGTGCTGATTTGACGTGAATACACCTTGGATAGATGAGCACTCATACCAGGTCATGTATTGTTCATCTTTTTTGCTTAGAATAAGTGATATAATCCATTCATCTTATATGCAGATCTTAGTATAAATAGTTTGCGGCATCTTTCATTATTTCTATTTGAAAAGGATCAGACTAACGGCTGTTTCATGCGGAATACTTCGTATAGCAAACGTACTACCTGGGTGATCGAAAGGTGAATGACTATCACCAGATCATAATTATCACTTAGTTCAAACAAAAGGGTCTTAAATCTAGAATTTCTATGCTGCAACAACTTGTCGATATATGTTATATCAAGTCACCTACAAATTGGACAGATGTTCTAGCCTAATTTATGATTATTCAGCACTGCGCATTCAAAGTCTCCATTTGGATGAAGTCTGGTTTTCTGATGAGCATCTTGTGATGTTCACAATCAACTGATATCAAACAGATCACTTGTTCCAAGCCATGTTAAGCTGAAATGAATTGTGACCATCATTCCTTATCATTAGTAAACATCAGTTTTCATTCATAATTTAGTTTATCTAACAGGTTATGGTTTGTCGTTAGGATTTTGAAGAGATCATCTGGAAATAGAGCCACAGTAAGCACTACTTGTTTGATTTGATAACGTTTGAGAAACTGCTTAACTAAACGTCAGTTATGGTCAAAAACTAATGACAAGATGAATACCCATTGGTGATATCCCATGATGGCTACAATCTATGGTGAAATAGTACGAGCTGAAAATTTAAAATCCTTGAATATTATTTGAGTTAGTAAGAAGCAATCCAGTAAAACTGAATGTTTTATGCTATCTCTCTCTCTTATCTGGATCTGAGAGTATCCACTTCTGGAGGACAGAAAACTATGGTGAAACAGTTTTCCTCAGGAGCCACTTGCCTCGTAACTGATTTCAGCCCTTGAAAATATCTTTCTTTCAAGTTAGTCAAACTCATAAACCACTGAATGGATAGTAAGATAGTTAACAAATTCTAGAATCAATAATACGTCTTTCTTCAATCTACTTCAAGAGGTTTAATTCCTGAAAAAGTATCATTCATTTTGATCATTTAATTACAAATAGTGATAGGTATCCTCGTGGCTAAATTTTGTTTGCACACATAATCCTTAAATATGTCTATCCAGATCGAAGACCCTGGGGTCAAACAATTAACATCTTCCTCATTTCAACACACAAATGAAACAATACATAAGACATTTAACAAACTCAGAATGGCTATTCTATATAAAAGCAAGTATTATCACTCATATATGATGATCGCATGTAGAAAATCTCATCTATCTACGAAATAAACAATTCATCAATGAAAGAAATAGCTTTTGAAATGTTTTTTTGTGGTTTGCATGATTATCTTAGGATGAAAAACGACAGAAAAGTACACTAATAGGGAAGATACAAAAATGAGACCCTCTACATTAGCACAATCATTACACGTAATTTGAATATTGTGTATATCAAGATATCTTCTTCAGTTCACGCGAACATTGGTTTCATAGTCCGTCAAAAGGATAAAAATTACTGGTGAATGAAACGATGACTACCATTAAATTTATTATGAACAATGTATCTCATAAGTAAATGAAATGTAAGACAGAAGTTTTAGTGAAAAAATGAGTTAACTGTGACATCCACTCTGTTAAACACCGACAACTAAGTGATGTACTTGGAGTTCATATTTAAGTTACAAAGAAACTATAGATATGACTGGTTTCTTACTGTCTAATTGTCAAATTCTCTTGGCAAACTGATGAGACAATGGAGTGGTTGTAGCAAATACCTGGAATACAATTATGGCAATAACCATAAGTTACATAAAATCACTTTGTTTCTTGGAATGTTGGTGGGTATTTCCCCTTTTCAGACTTCAGAAAAGAACTCATTATTACTTTGTGTGCTTGAGACCTGATGATAGGAAAAAGGTAATCTTGACATCAAGAATGAAACACTATTGTGAATGAGAATAGGATTTCAATGTTGTACAAGATAAAGTTATTCAGAAAGAACCAAGTGTATAAATAGATAATGTTGTCAAACTATGTAGTTATTAATAATTCAACAAGCAAGCTCAAAAACCCAGAGAGTTCCTAGAAGTATGGTACCCCTACCAACTGACAATCAATAGACACGTAGACATTGACCCAATATACGGACTATAAGGAAAGGATCGGTCAACTGGAAGTCAATAAAGAAAATGACAGATATCTTTTATAAACCTCCATACAAATTAAAATGCATCACTTCTATGTGAAGTATATGCTGGTGGGATTACCTGGTCTCGTGATGAAACCTCCTAGAACAAACCACACATCTCGGAAAACACCAAATACAATTCGAAATCAGCATGGCTAAGTAGTCAAATATATAATCACTTTTGAAGTGAACGGAAGTGAAACTTGTATCAAGCTTTGAGAACAATTACAATAAGAGATATAACAAATATTTGTGGTTTAGTTTCTTTTCATTTGGATGAGAATGTCTATCATGATAGTTTGATGTTTGAATATCTGAATAAAAGCAAACCTTCAACATTTTATAAAAATCCAGGTTGAATTCAGAGAATGATTTCTGAGGATTCGTCTATGCAATGTAATTCATCTTATAAATTAGATAACTTTCGTATTTGAACAAAAGATTTTCTATCGGCTGAATAGTAGAAGGGTAAAACTATAATATTTTAAGAAACTATAGAGGTTAATGGTGATTTTAAATAAACCAACTAAGTTACTGACACATCTATCTACCGGTCAGTATCATTGATAGAATTATTAACGCTTTCTCATGACACTCAAGAAGCATGCTCACTATACACAGTTTGTACGCATAGCTGAAATTCACGGAACCGTCAAACAACGATGAGGAAGAGTAGATAAAGTTACTGTCATCAAACAAAGGTAATTAATCACTAGCAGATGTCTTGCAGGATGATGAAAACTCCCCCCACATACATATAAGTATTGAGAAATAAGTCGCTTACCTTTCAGATAACTGACCGTTTTCTTTGTGCCTGACTACTTGTCTGATATCAGTAGAATTTATCGGTGCTGATGTACATCCGGTGAAAGAGTATCTGACAAGCAGTTTGCAGCAAGTATATACAATCTGAAACACCAATAAAAATACCTCAAAGTTGGCAGTTTATTGTGTTGGAAATGGATTTTTCGATCAACTGCAGAAACCACCACAATGGTATACAAATGTGTTTAAGTATGCATATGATAAAGATATTGACCGGAAAAGATAGCTATTTTGTTAACTTCCCATTATGATAGTACACTTAAAGTGAAATTAAGAAAAAAATTTCACGACAGCAGTAAAGAATAAACAAAGCATTTTCGTACATAGAATTCATAGGTTAGTTTGTCGACTACAAGGTCTTCAACTAACTAGAAATGATGATGTAGCTCTTTAGATCACACTGGATAAAGTTTTTAAAGACGGTGGGTAACCTGAAAAAAATGCATCGCATGACAAAAATACTCATTCATCTTATTGTCAAACATAGAATATCAAAAAAATAAAAAGGTGGTTTTTGGCTCGAATAACTTATTGTTAGCCCACTTGGTTACAATGCTGAGTAATCCATGTTTAGACCTTTGATTGTACAGCAGATTACTCGAGACTGCAGACATGTTTATGGGTGCTACAAGGGCATAATATTTACATCCCCCAATTTCCTGTGAATTACCTACAACCGCTTAACTGATAATATTTCACCAATAAAAGTGAAAAGAAGGTATGCTGGAAGATTTTACTTCGCTGATACTTTTATGAAATAGGTGCTTAAGTAGGACGCTAATTGTTGTATTTCATTGCAGTTTCTTTTCCCGAATGTACTGTAACATTCAAGAGGCATAAACTATATTACAGGCTTCAAAAATGTGAATTAACAATCCATAAATACTTATCAGACGTAAAGTGTGCATTGAACAGTTGACTATTTTCTGATTAAAGTCGCTCCTAAGAAGTGAACTTATTGCCGAAATCATAAGGTTGATCAAAATGAGGCTAGAACAGATCTTAACCAAAAGATGAGGTAATGCCCTGTGACAGAAAGTAGACAATTAGTAGGTAGTCATTACTGAAACACGAAGTGAGAGAAACGCATTTTTCAGGTGATACTGCACTAGCCTCTCCTAATTTCTATACAATAGGCTGAAAAGATATGCCCCATTTTCGGCTGATCATAATTTCAATAAGCCTCAATCACTAAGTCAGTTGTTTGGTCAAACAGTTTTCAAAAATCTAAATTGCAGTTTATGGTGGATTTAACAAACATCTATTGATAAAATTTAGCTGATTGTGAGGATTTATCGATTTCAAGTTGGTATCTATCACAGACCCGTATCAGCTGGAAATTCTGGACGCGTTGGATAACTGTTTCATACTGGGATGCGACTCCTCAGAAGTACGCACCCATGACTCCGCCAGTGATCGAACTCAGGACCTTAAGGGTTTCACGGTGAACGCGTTAACCATTCTGTCAACGAGTCCACAGTTTTCTACTTCTTCCAAAACATATTACAATGTAGTTCCCATTAGTGACATGCATCGAGACGGATATCCGGAAGTTCTTATAAGAAGCTTTGACCTGCAGGGTCCACCAGTTAGAAGTGAAGTGGATGATAAATGAACATCTTGGTGGATAGTCACGCTATATCGTGAACTGACAGAAGTAGGAAACTGTGGATTGTTGAACTCCAACCCATTGACAGAATGGTTCACCGTGAAATCTGAAGGTCCTGAGTTCGATCGCCAGCAGGATCGTGAGTTCATCTCCTATGAAGTCCCATACTAGGACAAAGCAGCTTTTCTGTTGTCATGGGTTTTCAATGGTTTCCTTGCTGATCTCAGTCCGTGATGAATATTACCACCAAAATATATAATTGCGTGCATTCGGAAGGATTCACAAAACTTTTAAGTAGGCAAGATGAAGAGATGTGCGTATATTTTTATCGTGATTCAACAATGTAGATAGTCAAGAAATTAACGATGACTTCTACTTTCCTTCGTTTGTCTGGATACTTTCCGTCTTTTAGACTGATTGAAGAAGGGAGGATCAACAAATGACTATGTTGCGCGTTTCAGTGTGCAGGCACAGGCAGTGATTGTACCGAAAGAAATAAAATAGACGGTCAATAAAGACAAGTAACATCATAAGTGATTAATCTCACCGCAGAGTAACAGAAGAATATTCACCATAGTAAATGTGCATACACATACACATATATCAAAGAAAAATATGACATTTACTCAGTTAGACATATTACTGACAATATTAATGCATTGAAGCAACCAATCAGATTATCATTGATCAGAATAGATATTTTTTAATTGGATGTACAGAAATTCTTGAAAGATAGGATTAATCTTTCAGATATTTCTCACAGTCTTTTTTTGTCAAAGCATTCATTTAGGCTTAACCTTTGCCATATTCAGTTAATGAAAACCTGTTGCAGTAAACGCCAAACAGCAATCTATTAGGCCATTGAGTCATTTCTTGTGCATTGGATATCATCAATTCGATCCAGCATTAAAATCAACAAGAAATCACGAAAATCGATAAATATCAGACGATATCCACTGCAAAAGAGGGGGATCTAATGACCCATCAGCCTAATTTATAATGTTCTGGCATTCTGAGCAATGAATACAGGGTTCGAGCCCCGGTGAGCAGGCCGTAACTGACTGGAATGCAGATACACTCATCTGAAGAGTCCCGAATAGGAAAACATATGCGTCCTATATGCCGTTTTTAGCTATCACCAACCAATTAGTGTAGAAATGAAACTTAAGGTGACATGGAGGCATCTGTGCAGGGAGCACATAATGAAGTGGACGTTGTTTACCAGAATGGATATCAGTAGTATTGTTGAGAGGGAGGCAGAAACCATAAGAAATTGTCAGCAATGGGTAGAGATTCTGCCCAGTAGAATGCAAGATGCAATGTGAGCATATTAAGAACAAATCAAGATAGAAGTAGAAGATGAAATGATGCAAAATATGCAATTGACTGTCTTAGTGGAAGGTGTAAAATATTTGATGACTACTGTGCAAGATGTCAATAATAAACCTGCCTTCCTTCGCCTCCGTCTTATCGTTTTCTACAACAAGTCAAAAGAAACCAGTCAATTCAGTTCCGTATAATAATTGGCAGGCTATCGCAAGCATCAATAAATAACAATAAGCAACATTAAACTATTTTATCATCAACTGTAGGAAACGAAATGAGAATGCTGGAATCAATGAATGTAATCCAGTCCTTCCGGTGGTGTGTCGCAGCCCAAATAGCTCTGTGGTAACGTTGCCAACTGCAACACTGAGTGACGCAGGTTCAAACCTCACAACGGCCATCAGTACCCTCACGGTTTCAGATACGCCTAGCTGACGAGTGCCAACAGGCATGAAACCTAGGTGCAACAGAGCTCCTTACCGATTGCCTCCAACCAAATAACCTCCATCAAAGTGTCTACTAGCTTGGCGGCTGTACTGCAAAATGATTGATACAACTGAGTCAGCTCTCTGCGCTAGACAACATGAGATTGGTTGCTATCTAGTGACCAATCAGCGTATGCTGAAACTACCTTTTAAAACAACCTTCAAGAGTTTTCCTAAGGTAGTTTGCTGTTATCAAGTCATTTCAGTAATGATGGACAGCTGATAATTTCATATCATTTTTCTACAAACGATTTCCATCTTACCCCTAATTCCAAATAACATAAAAAAGCATTAGGTAGGGGTTTAAAAAACTCTTTAACCATTTCGTATTCATTCACACTGTTACTTACCTAACAATCAATGTAAATAAACTGTCCAAACAGTTTGTTTACCCTAAGGTTTCGTGAAACATTCTTTGTTTTATATTTTAGTCTTACATGGAAATTATATTTTATTTATTTTGTATTTATTATTAATGAATAATGGCAATACATCCTTTTCTCCATAAGAGTAAACATCATTTTACCCATTCATCATAATCTTATGATTTCCATTTTCAGACGCTGGTGCGCAGTTAATAGCTTTATAACATACTGAATTATTTGCTGGGTGTCTGCAGTCACAAATACAAACTGTATATATATACATAGATATACCCAGTTGTAGAGTCGGAAAAGTAGTAGCAATTAGACATAATTGGTAGTTATTGGTAACTACAGCTTGTAAATTGCAATGAAAATGATGGTGAGTCTGTATACAATGCATTGAAGCGTATATATATATATATATATATATATATATATATATATATATATATATATATATATATATATATATACGATAGCCTATTCTTTAGGATATATCCAACTATATTAAAAGAGAATTAAAAGATTCAGTATTTTCACAAGAACACTCTAATATTGTGTCATTTAAAAATATTGATCAAGTAGTGATATGTTCAGTAGGAATTCCAAAGTCATTAAATGTTAACCTGGAGGACAATTTAGGAACTCAGTTTTTGATGTTTTTCACAGATTTACATAAAACTGGTATAAACTCATTATTTGTGGTTTGCACTGTTTCCCTAAAACGCTTTGTGTTATAGCACAGATATTTAAGTTAATGACTCGTTAACGTTGAGTATATACTCAGTTGAGCTTCAGAAGTCAAATGGAGTTGAAACCTTCAAGGTAGTTTGTAAGAAGAAACCGATTTTAGAACAAACAGTTCACTTGTCTAAAAACTTAAGTTACATGGCTAACAAGCATTTTGATTGCTGGTTTAATCTGTTGCAGAAAACAGAGTTAGAATGTACACTGATTGGTCACTGAAAAGCAGCCAATTTGATGTTGTCTTGTCTTGTATGCTAAATTCTATCTTGATGCATTTTGATGGAGGTTAGTTAGTTGGAGGTGATCGTCAGGAAACGGCCTCATGTACTAAATTATTTATGCAGTTAGAATACCTCACATTCACTAACGAAGGGGTTTAACGATGAAAATGTTTTAGAATTAAACAGCGCAATTACGGAATTCGAAAATGCCTGGCGTAACCAGACTTGAATCAGATGAAACTATGATCATTGCCTGAACCGAATCTACTCACCTTCTAACAGCCTCAAACCGTAATTCAGTGTATTTAAGAATGTGCGCACATAAAAAATA